AGATCTACCTTAATTAGAAGTCCTAAATACCTCCGGGACTATATAAATAAAGGGACGGGTAGTGCATGTCTAGGATGCATCTTGAGGTTGCTAGAACACTTTAGACTATGACCAAAAGATATGATGACATGTTCGTTAATGCCACGTGTAACCCCTCTAGTTGAGGAAGGCTTATCGGGTATTGTACAGATGTGATCATATAGGCTAACAAACCTAGGACTTCCCTCACCTTATTCACATATATATGCTTAGACTGCCTATCTGTTAAATTTCTTTTATTTACATATATGTGCTTAGACTGCCTATCTGTTAAATTTCTTTTATTTACATATATGTGCTTAGACTGCCTATCTGTTAAATTTCCTTTATTTACATATGTGTGCTTAGACTGCCTATCTGTTAAATGACTAATTCACATAATTTGAGTTCGGGCGGGACCCACCGTTGTAGACCGTGAGGGGTGCCTAACACCTTCCCATCAAGGTTATTTCGAGACCTTACCCAAGTCTCTGGTAATACAAACCGATTTTATGAGTTACTTGCATTAGGTGCTCTAACGCACCTTAAATCCGTTAGGTAGCGACTCTTCAAATTTAAATACCCAATTCCCAAAAGAAAATGAGTTGTTCCCAATGAATGTTGAAACTCGAACTCCGTAAGAAAAAAGGGGCATGACAGCCATCATACCAAATCATTGCCACAGCCACGCCATTTGTCGATTAGCTTTGTCAAGGGTCTAATAGTAAGCCACCCTGTCAAACGGGTAAAATTTTATATATGTACTAATATTTTCATTCAAAACTGCTATAATATAGCAGATGGCACCCCAAGTCACAAACTGATTTTAGATGCCATGGTTTAAGTATCAAAGCTCCTCATACAAGACTCGGGATCGAGACACTAGTATGTTTTGATTCTTAATCCAAGCATTACTAATCCTTGTGATCCCGCATGTTCCCTTCCTCCCTTTTCTTTCGTTTCTTTATGTTCCCTCTTATTTATTTTATTTTCTTCATCTTTATTTTCCTCTTTCTTTGTACAATCTCATTTTTATTATATATTTAAATTATAGATTTGCTTTCTTTATCTTTGTTATCCACTCTCTCTTTGTACAATATCATTTTATTATTTATTTAAATGGTAGATTTGCTTCCTTTTTCTTTTCCAGATCTTCATGTTTCATTTGATTGTGATTTTAATAATTTTCTCTTTTATCCATCTAGTGTCATTTTACTGATTTCATAAATTTTCTAGAGTAATGGCATCAATAGACATAATATTAATCTAGCTATATATAGATTAAAAGGATGCATTTGCTAATTTAAAATTCTATTTTATATTTATAATCATATTATTTAATAGAATTTGAATCAAAAAGATTATATCCAATTGGACAAAACTTATTCAGTTTGGTGATCACATATTTATGTATAATTGTTTTTTAAACTGAACTGAATTAATTCAAAAAGGACTGAACCTAACCGAACCAAACCAAATTGATCCAAAACGAATCGAACCGACTGAATGTACACCCTAATTAGATCTAGATTTTTATACAGTTAGATTTATAGTGAAAAGGGTTAATCAAAGTCAATATCAATATTCAAATAGCAGATCTAGTATTTTTATAAAGAATATTAAATGTGTGTTGTTAGATAAGAATATCTTATAACAATAATGGAGCAATAATGACTTAAGAACATGAAAGATAGCAGTAAATGCTATTTAAGTAATAAATGGAACAAGGTTCACCCGACAAGGGTGAGATTTTCAATTGAGCTTTCTGATGGATGATGATAAACAATTGAATATTCTGATTCTTCTTGGATCAGGAGAGAAGGATAGAGGAAAATAAGTATAAAGGTAAAACTTGTATATATTCAATAAACAAAGAATCTTCATAGAGAATGTCAATGATGTTCTTTACAAAATGTTCGATCCCCTTTGAACTACATCTCTTCTTATTTATAAAGCTGAATACATACGGAGACACTTAAAGTTGGCATGATTTTTCATTTAGACACTTTAACTGAGCCTATTACCTATTGGACGCTCAAACTATTTGTGAAGTGTTCCGATTGAACACAAAAAATTGAGTCCCAGGAAATAATAAGCGTGTGAAACTCACGTAGCTGACATGGCAATGTAATTAATGAGAGAAAGCCTTCACCTTTCCCTGCTAATATCTTCCACATCATTTCTACAACCACCTTGGCCCGCCACCTCTGCCTGCCATACCTGCTTCCCTCTTCAACCACCATAAAAATTACAGTATCAACCATCACCATATGAAAATCACAATTTTCTTTTTGAAATTTGAACTAATAAGTTACCAAAAGAGTACTCTATTAATCACACTTATAAAGAACACAAACTCAATCACCAAACTTGTGCTTTGAATCTTCTTGTCGGGATTAGGATGAGGAATCAATAACACCGAGAAAGTCCAAACCCCCCCCTCCCCCGCCCCAAATCCCATTTCACTACTTGAATCCTAAAAAGCTTGTGCATTTGTTGGGTTGATCTCAAATATTTTTTTGGTGAAGACAACGAAGGCAGATTTGGGTCTCTTAACACATGAAGAAGAAAATGATTACAGCTGATCCAAAAATTTTCCGGTAAAACTCTATTTTCTCCTACAAGAATTTTGGCTTTGAAGAAGAAAATGACTGTGAGAATGGAGAAGAAGAGGGGGGTCGTTGGTTTTTTGGAGAGGATGAGGCCGCCGGTTTCTCTCGCCAGATTCCGGCAGTGAAGAGATGGGGACTGCCTTAGATCTGTTTTGTTTTTTAGAGAGAAGAAGAAGGAAATAAAAAAGAAAAAAAAAATCTATTTTTTGGGGGTCTTCACGTGCCTATATTGGGTGAAACTCACTTTATGTGCCAACTCAGCAAGAAATGCTTAATTGGAATAAGTTTCGGATAGTATAAGTGTTCAATAGGAACATCCTTGAGTTTAGGTGTCTAAATGAAATATCGTGCCAACTTTAAGTGTCTCTGTATGTATTCAGCCTATTTATAAAGGTACATGTGCCACAAAACTCTAGATAGTACAACAGAAAGAAATATTCACTAGAATATTTTCTTAGAGAATCTAAATCCTTAAACTAGTTGTTATTGTGTACTGAGGACAGATGCTTGTCCTCGTACTCGTCTTTTGTCAAGCCATCTCGTCCTTGACGATGATTTGCCTTCTTCACATGACCTCGACCTTTTGGAGTCGGGTCAACACATCATAACATCGATACATCACAACCTTCGAAGGCTTTATGCCCATTGTCAAATGTATGGCATGAAGTTTTTGGCCTATACATGTCTCTTATCAGTATTATTTATTAGACAGCCACCCAATTCTTGAACGGCAACAATGGTTGAACATGTTTGAGCAAATTCACCTTTTTATAGGCCTTTCTGAAGAAGAAAGAGAGGTATATATAGTGTTCAATGAGAAAATTAGGCTGATCCTTGCCTCCAAGTTTCCCTCACAATTAAGTGATGTAGCTCTTTTTGTTGTTGTTAATGTTGTTTCACTTATTTATTTATCTTTTTCGCACCTTAAGTACCCATAACTTATATTATTGTCATATTATGTGCAACCGATTTATTTTGACTAAAATTGCAGTCTTTTGATCTAAAACTTTTTATGTTTAACCACTGGTGTAGGGCTACTTCGTTGGGCGAAGCCTTCTGTTCTATGACTACCTTAAATGATGTTCTTTGAAGCTCTAGCCTCCAGCTTTGTACTCCTTTCAGGAGAATAAGATCCTCTTTCCCAGCGTTACTTTGAAATCCAAACTGAGTTGAGATTCCCTATACTGAGAGAGGCAAAGTTATACGTTTACTTTGATTAGTCAATTATTCAGTCTTGACTGCTTCATTCTCTTCGTTTTTAAATTTAATCCCGAAGCCTTTGTACCATATTTATGTACTACATATATCAACAATATATAGGAATAATGCTTTGCTCATTTTAGGAGATAACGGATTAATGCCGCTGCACACTTCACATTATACTCTTCAATGCCTGATTACTTGGTTTACAAGAGGATAGGTGCCGTGGAAAGACTGTTTGCTCCGCATCTAAGATACATGTTGGCGCTTCTTCTGTGTTTCTCTTAGACGTCGCCTCCCAAAGGAAAGAAAAGGGAAGCAAAGAAAAGAAAGCTTTTCCCTTGGGAACACTCTCATTTCCCTTGTTCCTACCCTCTTGCATCCAGTCCTTTTCACATCTACCCATCAGCCAAATGATATTTTGTGATTAACAAGTGTTATTTCCATCAAGGATCACATGAGCAAGGAATTCAGGTAAATTGCCACATATATGATATATCATATCTAATGAAAGGAGAACGTGCAGGGTGATATTTGAACTATGGGGCAACAGTACTCACCTATTTGTGACAGGTATGAGATGTTGACACTAGCACTTCCAATACAATTTCTGGTTTTCTTCACTCTTTCATAGCAAACGCTATTACC